TTTTATCAGATCCAATGATTGTCGTACAATAGAATATATTTTTTCCTGCGGACGGTTCGAATTCTTCTAGTGATATTTCTGATAATGACGAGAAAAATTTAATTTTTGTGAAAGATATTAAATTTCCTTCTATCAAGTTAATTTCCCTCGAGTTAATCTGTTCTACTCCGTCAAATATATCCACGTGAAACATATAGTTTTTTGACAGACAGTCAAAAAATTTAGTCAAGTTTTCTAGAAGAGGGATTTAAATTTGAGTTGGAGGAGAAAAATTGAAAATTAAAAATTGTCAAACAGCAAAAAGACGAGAATTTCCCAACTGAATTAAATTTTCAATGAAAAAATTAATATTTAACACTGAATGATGCTGAAATTTCAATCGATTAATAAAAATTCAAGAATAGTTTGACCAGAATTGTCCTGGTTTCCAACGATATCCATGAAATAATCGAACCGCCATTTACAATTTCAATTGATTTTCTCATCAAATTGTGAATTTCAAATTCCGAAACTGCTTGACATTTCCGTGGAACTGTCGCTCGATAAAAATTTTCAAGAAGTGTACCGGAAATGTCAGCCAATTTTTTTTGAACGGTCTAAAATATTTACCTGCATCCCGTTCTTCAAGGTAAATTCGAGAATGAGTGATGGTAAAAATTAAAACATGAAGAATTGCAGTTTTCTCCTCCTCGAAGATAAAATTTTACCCCACGCTCTTCAAAATTCGCAACACCGAAGCGCAATTTCCGTGACATTCCCATTCAACCACACAATTACATTTTGTCAGGTAATTTTCAGTCATTTCTTCAGGATTATTTTTATAAGCTGTCTTTCTCCGTGCAGCGGAAAACGTTGGGGATTTTATGAACTCGTAAAGATTCAACGTGATTGTCGATTTCATTGTCAAATTTGACACTGTCGGTGATAAAATATCTGTAAAAATCGTTTTTATAGCTGAATCTTCAACACAATATATTCCGTGATATGCATTATTCCGATGGATATTGCTATGCAAGTCACTTCAGTCGTGGGACATTTCATACCCTAGGGTAGTATGAAGGAAAACGGAAACAATTTGAGAGCGAATCGACAGATTCGAACGGAGGATATGGTAATTCATCATATGTTACATCCAATATCTCTAAATTATCCTGTCTAAATTTAACTTTCCCATGTCAAGCACTGCAATAAAATTTATTTGGCTATTTCCCTGGGAATGAAACGTCCCACGGCTGTATATGGTGACTTTCATAGTGATTGCCATGGGAAATATTCCCCCGATTGTGCCACGAAACTCGAAAAATCACGTTTACTTGAATTTTTAGAGCGCCGGGAAAACTGGTAAATTTTACTATTCCTTTCAGTTCCGAATCGTGATCGGATTTTTTTTCGGAAAGTGATTCAATGATTATTCAATATTGAATGCAATCTGCTATTCTTCACATTAACTGACGAATTCATTTACTGCCAGCAAAGCTTGCTAACGGCTAATGAATGTCTCATCTAAATATCCTGATACACTGAGAAAAAAAACTTTTTCGGAAGTACGTCTTTACTTGTATTAAGAAACTCATGGCTTGGAAATTGACAAGGAGAAAATATCTGCCACTGAGACAAGAAACCTTTCCGCAAGAGATTATGTGCTTGTCAAGCGGCTTTTGCAATAAAATATTTTGGATTTGAGACTTGAAAACTATTGGATAAATTGATCCAACTAGACTTGGTTTGAGAAATCACTTTCTTGTCATAAACGTTGAATTTTTCATTAATGAAAATGGAATAATTGAACGAAAATGAAATTTAAAAAATGAAATTGAACAAAGATAAAAATTTTTAAAAACTGTACCGGAAATTTCAGACAGTAATTTTTATCACTAATAAAAATTTAGTTCATAGGAAAAAGTCGGAACAAATATTCACTTGCTAACGAATTTATGCCACGAAATTACTGCGTTTAATTAATTTGTTATCAGTGCCCTTTCCCCCCGAAAAGTTCAAAATCCCCATTGAAATAAAATCCGCTAATGAACTCTCTCCCCTCCAAAATGGTCTGCAAATGACTTCCAGAAACGGGTGAATCCCCGGTATTTCATCGATATTTATCTGAAGCGATCGATGGCCACTGGAAAATCGTATTCCCTTTTGTCGGTAATGAATGCCGAAGGGTCGAAAAAAATTCCTAGTAGCCTTACGGAAGTCAATGAGGCGCTTGCTCGAATACCTAATGAACATTTTCGGTGATATACCAGCGTAAGACAGAGAGAGAGACAAAAAAAATGTTCAAGATAACCGACACAAACCGGACATTAAAATTCCAATGTGAAACCCCTCGATGCATTTTACTCTTGAGCTCTTGATGCGGCGGTGAAAGACGTCGAAACACGTGTCCCTCGTGTGAGGCGTGATGCACGGTCATGGTGGAACAAAAGAAGTGAATCGGAGTCACGATTTTTCGACGGTCGAGGTTACCTATAACAGTGAGATGGAGAAAAAATGAGGAATGAGGATGAAAAATACATCGTTAAAAGCCTTAACTGCCATTTAATTATTTTATCATGGGCCATTTTGCATGCGTTGAGTGGGCAAATAAAAATGAAGATGAGAATAAATTAAAAAAATTGAGCACTCTCAGTATTTCGCCTGGTGGACGCTCTCTGCGGCCATGTCAATTAGACACGCCAGCGAGTTACGAATGCACCGAGAGTTTTGCACGGTGAAAAGCCGATTATGCATCCCACCACCCTCATCCCACATTCATGTCCTTCTTTCATCTCCTTCAAGGGGAAGGGAGAGGTGAGAGAGCTCTAAACCGAGCCACTTACAGGTGCCTCAAAAAAAAATAATAATAAAACAACAATGAGCCGTCGAGAGTGGCAGTAAACGACAAAACTCTCATCCTGAAATTGCGTATAATAACGCGTGACAATTCTCTGTGACGAAATTTATACCGATTTTTGCACTCGTGACACGCGCTGACTGGCGCTGATGCGCACCGCAGAATGAGATGACAATGCGAAAGTCGTGTGCAACTACCTCGGGGCTTTCCATAAATCACCAGAAAATTACCTTCAATTCCATTTTCAACCAAATGAGATATTTCTAAATGGACAACAGTAACACTCTCAACTGGGGGGGACTGAAAATTACATTTTTTTGTGCCCAGTGTAATTTCAATCTCCACGTTTTGACATAGAGAGAAATAGAAATTCATGGAAAAAACGGGTAAACGAGGGGAACGAATTGAACCATGATGCGTTCTGATATTAGTCTCCGAGACGGCTCGAAACTCTTCGTTAGGAAATTCCTATTACAAATTCAGTAGCGAAGCGTTAGAACGGTTGAAGTCAAAATTTTCTAGTTCTTTTAGGAGTGCCGTAAAAATTATTTTGGTCATTTTAGAAGCCGATTTAGATAACAATCTCATTAAAAAAAAATTGACTTGAAGTGGTATAACCATAACTTGAATTTTGAAGATTAAAATCTGAAATAAATTCTAAACGAAAGTTATTATGAATAGAAACATTCTGGTTGAGTTTGTATTCAATCAGCAGTCTAGTATTATTGATAATAATTAATCTAGAGGTACAAAAATAACACAGATTAATTTCTCACACTCATCAGAGTTAGAATTCGGGGGAAAAATGATCAATGACAAATAATATTTTTCGTTGACAGTGTGAATTTATTGTTCCTCGTCACACCCATCGATTCAACTGGAGTTTGTTCATACTACACTGAGAGAAAAAATTTGTTCTGCCGAAAAATGATGTTCCCTTGAAGGAATTTTTTGTCGTGTTGAATAAATTTACTTGTGGACTTAAATGTCTTTCGGGTATCAGTTTGAACCGTTTATCTGCCCGGCTAAGTATTGACGAACTTAACGCTACAATTCGTTCTAGTCAAAGATCTTTGGATTTTTGTGCGTAATTGGAAAATTTGTTTTAAGCATTTATTAATTCATTTTATTAATCTCTCAGTGAATAAGCCTCGTAGATCATCGTTGTGCATTCCTTCAACAGCGTTTTAAGTCAGATTTACATTTTAGTTTATCACCCTTTGCTCTTCCAAACGTGAAATTTTTCTGTACACCACTGCACACTGTATATATTTTTGGATATATCTTCCCCCCTGCGATGGGGGGAAGAAACATGTACATTCAATTTCCTTCTATGAAGTTAGTTAATTTGCCCCAAGTAAATCTGTTCCACTCCATCAAATATTCTCAGTGTACTTTACCCCGTTTTCAATCCACTCAAAATTAAGTTGGATATGACGCTCAATTTCCCAACTGAATTTGAAAATTCTACATGTCATTGAAATATTCCTGATAATCTAACATGGAAACCCAATTCTCCTGAATTCCCATCCTGAATGAGAGATTCCATGCACGACTTGATCTTAAATTGAATTAAAATTCACAACATTGAGAATTCAAGTGCAACGCTTGCTTAATTTTCAAAAAATTTCCAACAGTGTACCGAATTGTTCTCCCTCCTCCCCGATTCGTTACAAATACCCCTTGAAATTAATGGAACCCGAGTCCAATCTCAAGATCTCCCGAGAAGAAAAATACCAAAGGACCGAAGAATTCATTTGTTCCCATATAAATCAATTACCCCGATGTTGCCGGGTTGGCGCCGAAAAATTTGGACCCCAGTTATGGACAGGTGTATTTAAGGTGTACAACCCGTGTTATTTCTCTTTTTCATCGAGCCGAGGGGTGTTGCGCCGCCGGGGCGCCAGGTACCCGCAGAAGCGTCGAGGGGGGAAAAAACGACCCCATCCCCCTCCCCCTCCTAAAATGAGCTAACATGTGGCATTAAGTTTTCAGTGGCGTAGACTTGAGGGCAACCAAAACACACTTAGGAACACATTGAGTAGAAGGCGAGAGCGGAGCCGTGTACCCCGGCATTACTACTACGGGCTTTTACAAGCGAGGAGACGCAAGCGGCGGAAAAGGAGAGCCCCGGAGGAGCTGGAACGGCCAGTCTGCGCACAGACATCGATCGAAACCCACCTCACGCTCGTCGTTCTCCAACGTACTCACCCGTGTTTTCCGTCGATTTACCACACGCCTGCAGTGCGACCGTGTACGCGGTACCTCGTGGTTCAATCCCCAACGTTTGCTTTAGCCGTGTTTTCACTCTTTGTTCAGTTTTTTCCCCCTCATTCTGTTTTTTTCATTTGTTCGTTTGGTACTGTGAAACTCGTATTGTGCTGTCGTAGTTGTTTGTACAATTTGAAAACGTCAATGAGGACAATTACTGAAGTTACAATTTGCATGTTCAACATGAGTGGGTTATTGTAATTGTTTGGCGATTGATTTTCAAGCTGGTGAGTAATAAGTAATTGGAAATGCTTTGAACTACATTCAATCGAGAATGAAAATCAGTTGAAAATGAGTTGAGGGAATTCTTGAATGAAAGTTGATGACAATATTTACTTAATCCTCAAGACCGAGTCCTTCTTGAATGGTGAATTGAGGCGAATGGTTCTCTTGAATGAATTAATAAACGAGTGACTCACTTGAGCCACTCGCCGGCGTTTGTGGGGGTCCCCATTAAACGTAAACAAATCATGAAAATTATCAATTCACTGGGTACTCTCTCTCTCGCGACTTCCTTCCTCGACGTCCAAGAATTCAGAGCGCCTTTTGGCAGACCGGCACATAACAGGGAACGAATTTATTTTCGTATATCACCGACACAGAGCCCGCCAAGTACAAAAAAATGGTCGTACTCATACGAACAGAAGCGAAAGAATAGACCAGCGACTTTTGTTGTGCTCTATTCGCGGTATCATCACTTGCTATAGCTGGCAAATCGATGCGCTCGAGTACTCGTGTGTAATTCACTTGGTTATGGCCTGTGAACAATAAATATAACTGAATTTAATGTGATAAAAATGAAAGGATTGGAATTTCAGGTATTTTCATTAACGGGAATGGCTGTGATTTGAACGGTGGATTTAATATCTCACGCGTGATCTCGTTCGCTTGGCACGATCACCAGTGATAACGCTATTTCTCGAGGGGGGGAAATATTGGCAATGGCTATAAACTCCTAGGAATGGCAATGAACGTATTGAATATTATTTCAATTCTTCATTTCTGGTTTCGTGTTATTCAGGGTTTTCCGATGGAAATCAGAGAGTGATACTGGGACTCTCGTTAGTTATAATTCATGGGCGAACTGAGCAAACACCTCCGCAGAGATATCAGGATTTAATTTGTTGTCTCCCGAGAACGACGAGGAACAGAGATGTAAAAATTTTTTAGAGGGGATTAATGATTTTTATTTTTTACTCTTCTGCTTGAGAGGATTTTTTGAGGTCCGGTTTTCTGTTTACTCAGAGCTTCATAATGGAATGTGAAATAAAGTCACCGTAAATCATATCGTGAAAATACCATAATTCAACGGGGTCAAGCCGTAAACCAAATCGACGTGACGTCCCTCTGCATGACATTTTTTTCACTCTGCGCTCTCCTATTTTTCATTTGTTTTTTTTCGCTTTGGTTTTTTGTCATTCTCGACATTTGCAGCTTTTTTTCGCTTTTGTTTCGAGTTTAAATGGCAGTCCTCTTTTTCAAGGATCGTGAGGATGGACGAACCGGGTTGGGGGAGACAGTGGGTGGGAGTGAGAGGGCAGGATATTCCTGTCACCCGTGCGGGGTGGCCTTGTGCCGCCACGAAATAATCACATAACATGCCCGACTGCATAGCTGCATACCATAATACATTCGGAGAGTCTCTTTTCATCGTCTCCCATGCAATCTTGCGAGTTTTTTACAGGACATTCGTCGTTGAAAGCGAAAAAATAAATGAAAGCCTGAAAATTTGGGAATAAAAGGATTTAAATTGGTGAGGGTTTATGGATGTGACGGGTCATTCGGAGGCTTTTAGGCAATTTATTATTGGATGTCAATATTGAATAAATATCATGAAAATTAGGGGAATTCATTCCGGGGGTTAAAAGTCCATTCCTGAGATGAAACTTATTTTTTGCGGGATTCATTCATTTTTATGGAATACAAAGATACTTTCGCGCCACTTTTTTGTGAATCCGCTAATTGCATCTAGAATTCCAGAATGAGGAACGGAGGATTTTGCAACGTAATCTATCTGTTCTCATCACTTTGCTTCATATCATTTAACATTTTTTTCTTTGTTATTTGTGTTATTTATCTAAAATATTTTTATTCTTATTTTTTGTTATGACGAAAGTTACATTTTCTAGGTAATATTTTTATCGCCTGATAACATAATGTCCTATTTCGCCCCTGCGGGCACTAAATACACAATTCTGAAATTTGACTGCGCCTACGCCGAGGCGAAAACGCGATTCTAACCGCGGGAAATGAAATCAACAACCCTTACGCACGTGTTTACTATCGTGATAATTCCGCACATGGGCACGACTCCTTAATTTTACCTCCCTAGGTTAAAAATATGCTATTGCAGGAACCAGGAAAAATTCGTCGTCGAGGCAGGAAAAATAAGGAAAAGCTCGCAAAATTAAAAAATGAAAGGATTTGAATTGTTGTTGATGGGGGGAGCGGTGCATTTATGAATGTGATTGGACATTCGGAGACCCTCAGACTCATTTTCGAATGTCTATATCGAATAAATATGAGAAGACTAAGGAGGATTCCTTCTGTGGTTGAAATGCTGAAATTCCTGAGATGAAACTGACCATATTTTGTGGGATTCATCAATTTCTGTGGAATCTCTCTCGGCATTTTCCTCTAAACCTACAGAGTCTACGAATATTTCTACGAGAAATGAGAAATACATTTTGTTTAATTATTCATCGGAAAAGTAATTGAAATGGTTTTTCTTTTAATTAAGCATTAATTGGGCAATTATAGAATTAATAATGAAACATTTTGAAAGTCATTAATTAGCCGAGAGTGCGGCCAAGTGGAAATTTTTGATCTACTGTAATTCTTTCATCTTCGGATATAAACAGAAACATTGGGATTTTCAGTTGATGACGTGTGTTCCACTTTGCCCCGCCTTTCTCTACTTCTTACCTCTTTAGCTCATGACATTATCTAATATTTTCGAAAGATGTCTTTGCCTCTCAAAATGATTAAATGCTGTCACAATTTTTGGCTGTAATTTCCGATCAACTTCCTCGAAAATTTATCAAGTGACAGTTCAAGGAGTGTCACTCAATAAATTCATAATTTAAAGAAAAAACCAATGGATTATAATTTTGCCTTCAATTATCCTATGAAAATTAACAGAAATCTGGTAAAATCCATTAAATTAATTAAAAATTCTGTTTTGATAGACAATTCTCGTCTTTCTGCTGCGCATTCTTTATGATTTTTCCCCGTAAATTAAATTGAATCCCGCTCCCCTGGTTATTACAACCGAAGTGTCCATTAAATTTCAATTGTTTCTAACAGTGAATTCAATTAAGAAGGAAAGATGTAAAATGTATTCCGCAAAGAATTAATGGCATTAATATAAATTTCCCGAACGACGTGAATTTTGCGGGTAATCCCAGTAGGAAGTACAAAATAATATATGTACAGAGTGAGTTGGTAAAGTCATAGGGGTCGCCTACAGCCTCCTGTACAAATGCAAAACAATATTTTCACGTTAGGGTATTTCCCCTCCTCGACCCCTTTTAACTTCCACCATGTACATCGTCGTTTATTCCACCATGGGCTTTTTCACAAAGATCGAGACGCCTGTTTGGCTTTACAAGGCACACGTACCACACACTCAAATACATTTGCAGGATATTAAAGAGAGTGTACAGTTGGCTAGATGCATATAACGTTCGTTATCGTCGTGCATAAATCAAGGTGGTACGAGAAACCGAGGTTTAGCCATGTATGACACTTAACAAGCGATCAGTTTCGAATCGATCGGCAACGCGCATTGCAGGTGCATTGCTATAAAATAATTATTTATGCACTGAAAAATGAGTGAAAAAGGGAATAAATGCACGGTGGGGGGACATTTTTACAACACGTAGTTGCGTTTCAGCGTAAAAATTAACTTATGGGAGGGTGGGGTAAAATGGGCACTTTAAACTTTTTTACATTATTCATAACTCAGAAACAAATTTATCAATTGAGCGCAGTATAGGCTCACCACAAAGGGAAAGAATTGTTCTTTGTATTGAAAAAAAAAATTATTGAATTTTATCAATATTTCAACCCCTCATTAAGATTTTTAAAAAAGTCAAAAGTGTCCGTTTTACCCTACCCTCCCCTATGTATTAGGGGATATCAGGAAAAATAGACTCTGGAATATCAAATATGGGATATTAACCGAGAAATGGGATTCAGATGGAGTTTATCTCTCTTTTAAGCTCTTTTAAAAAAACTTGATAATTGCATGAAGTGTTTGCAATTCGAAAGTATGATTTTCGTGTTGATGTGAGTTTTTTTAAAATACAAAAAAACTTTGTGGTAAATGGAAAAATTTTTCATCTTTGTGGATTCCCAGCAAAGATGAGGATTCATGAATAATTTAATCTCAAATACAATTCAAGCCCACACCGTCAAACGTTGATACATAACCGTCAAAAAATTTCTATTTCTACCAGGGGATCATCCTTTGATTTAGCTCGACATAAAACCGAATGAAACAGAAATTAAAGCCAATACAAAAAATTCTGGCGCCAACAGAGAAGTTGCAGAATTTTTGTGCGAAATGAACGGGAAAAAAAATTTAATCGAAACTACTTCTCGCGTTCATTCCTTTTATACCGTTGGAATGTAATAGAATTCCACTGAGAAAAAATGTCTTACGTCATTCCTCAAACTCAATAAATCCTCCGGAATTTTCGTGAAGAATCAAAACCTAGTGGAATGCGTCCATTAATTCAGCTCGGAAATTGAATATCAATCGGAAAATAGTGCTGTCGAAGCGACCGTCCGGGTGAAAGCCCCCGAGCCGCGAAGGTGAGCCACGAATATAACACCACGCAAGCCAAAAAGAGGTGCATACATCCTTCCTGCACTGTAATACTGCAATGCGGAGTTGTACTTTCCCGTAGATTCTGCGCCCTGGCGGAAATTTCAAACAAATTTCACACCTTCACTCCGGCATTCAAGAGCGGCTCTTCAAGTGAACGAACCCATTCCACATTCGAGAATTATAAATACACGAGGAGTTGAGTTTTCAAGTAAGAGACTCCAACTGACGACTCTATTTTCGTTAGTCCATGTTTGCGATGTAAACTAGAATGTCCGATGTCGTCCGGTCATCTCACATATTTGACATTGCACACCTTCAATTATCCCCCACATTTGACACTGTTCAATGAAAGAATTGCTGATTCGTTGCGTCTGTTAACGGTCGGGGTTTACC